CTGCTGAAGAAATGAGTGTGCTTGGCCCAGGGTGGGGCTGAGCAGAGGGTGAGGGTTGTGGGGGGTGGGCAGGGGGCAGAGGTGAGAGAATGAGGAGACGCTGGGAGGGGGTGTGGGTTCTGAGGGCCCAGGCTTACTTGGGCAGGCTGGCCATCTGCTTCACAGCTTCCACGGCTCCTGGCAGGGGTTCGAGTTCATAAAAGAAGTTCTTAGACTCCCATATGCTGACGGCCTTCTCCTGGGAAATCGGAGAAGCAGGTTATTTCCAGGGTCCTCAGCATCTCACGGCCTCCCCCAGGGCAGGGTGGGAGGCTGGGAAGGGCTGCCGACCGGAGCAGGTGTGCCCCCACACAGTGAGACACACACCCGAGGACGTATGTGGGGTCTCTGAGAAGTGCAGGGAAAACGCGTGTTAGGAGAAAACCATTCACGAATTTCAGTGTTTCTAGTGCCAGAACAAGCCCCTACTTTAACTCCATCTCTTTTCCATGGACCTCCGGAAGTGCCCTGGCATTTTCTGGAGGAAGTGTACGGAGTTGGTGTGTTTCGGGCCCTTTCCAGGAGGGATGTGTTAAGGATTGGAGTCTGCGGATACAGCAGAGGCCGGCCAAGGTGCCAGGGCTGTGACTGCTACCCTGATGCCAGGGCAACAGCGCTGGGGCTCTTCGGGGCCTGAGGCCAATCAAATCAGAGCTGGCCAGACTTGCTTCGCGTGGCCAGACACACCGTGCAGCCACTGAAGGGGGCCAGGCTGCCACGGCAGCCATGTCCTCACACCCAAGAGCTGGAAGTGCCAGGAGACTGTGAGGGCAGGCTCCAGGCCCAACACCAGTCAGAACAGCTACGCTTTTACCTGTTTTGAGTGTCACGATGCCAAAAGGCACTTTTTTTTTAAAGGTTGTTGTCATAGGGTGTGTGCACTTGCTGGAGAGACAGAGAGGGAAAGTGAGAACTCATCCCCCGGGGGGAAAGGCTGCACCATAATCCCTTTTCCTCCAGTCTCTTCCTGGGGTTTTGGTCATGCACACACATGTGCCCAGGTGAGTTTTCAAGCCGCCAGGATTCACCCTGCCAGGTTCGGGACTTGAACCATTGTTGGCCATGTGGGAGTCTGGAGCCCCAACACTATGCCACCTGCTGGTCCTGACAATAGGGATTAAAAAAAAAAAAGAATTCTGTGGCTTTTAAAGTTTTAAAGCAGGCCAGTCCCATGGCCCGATGGTTAAGACCCAGGTGGCACGTGGCTGTCTGCACGGTTTGAATCCCCAACCGAGCAGCTTGCAAAACATGCCAGGCACGTTGCGTGTGCCCCAAATCTCAAAGGATGAGCACGGGGAAGGGATGAGGCACGACCACTCCTCATGGGACATCTGATGAGCTACCGAGGGCCACGGCCAGAGGAGGCTGAGAACTACACCAGGGGCCATTCAGCATGTGGCTGACTGCATTCTCCCTGTGCGGGCGGATGGGGCGCCCTCGCCCCCTCTCATCACTCTGTGGCGAGCACACAGGCTCCTGGGTGAGGGCAAATACATACATACGTTTTTAAAGCAAAACTCCAGATCTTCCTTCTACAGATGACAAAACCAAGGCTCAGAATGGGGACGGACTCCCTTATGCCACCCAGCAAAACAGTGACCAGGCAGCAGTTTCCGATCCCAACCCCGAGCCGGCCCTCCCGCCTGTTCTCAAAATGCAGCAACTCCTTCCAGGGCCAGGCAGGAGGAGGGGCTCGGCCTCTGAGGAGTAGGGGAGGCCACCAGATCAGAAGCTGCACCCCCAGGACAGTGGCCACCCCGAGATGCTCTCGAGAACCGTCAAGGCTTCTGGCGATGCACGCTTATCTGACAGACACCCTGTCCTTGGTCCTCAGCCCACGGGGACAAGGGCTGCCCTCGCCAGACTACAGAGGAGGATTTCTCGGGGCCATGGAGGGTGCTGTTGTCAGGCCTTGCGCTTCGGACCCGGCTCAGTAAGCCTCTCTCCTTGTCTATACAATGGAGAAGGCACCCATCCTTGCGTGGAGGGACCCTGTAAAGCTGCCGCTACACCCCCGGCCCGAAGCGAGCCTCAGATGTAACATCAGCACCCCTGCACCCCTTCCATCTCCAACACTAACTTGCTGTGAAGCCCTGGTCAAGGCTCTTGGCCTCTCTGGGCTCAGTTCTGTCCTAATAGTCTAAGATCCTACGCCTTAAAATGAGCCTATGGGCCCAGAGGCAGTGGCGCAAGTGGGAGGGCACGCTGCACATGGCGGAGGCTGCACGGCAGTCCCAGGGTTGGTTCCTGGCCCACTCTGAACAGCCCAGCACGGAGGCCCACATCCATGGTCCTTGCCAGCTGCGAGGCCGAGGCAGGAAGGGTACACGCTGGCGAGATTCCATCACGGCTGGCCCGGGCAAGCGCCAGGATCCCGACGAGCAAGAGGGGCAGGGAGGGGGCACAGTGAGAAGACGGTGAAACGCGACCAAGGGTGTCAGGGAGCCTCTCCCTTCCTCTCTCCCAGAATCAGAGACGGGGAACTCTACGTCCCCCTGCCTGCTTCCCTCCAGAGCTCTGCGAAGATGAACGGGAAGACGGATGAGCAGTACTCTGTGAAGCAGAAATGCTTAACCCACAAGCTGGGTGGGTGGATTTGGTTTTAACCACAAATACTGGGCCAGCTCGGCCACCAGAGTCCCAGGCAAGGAGCGGAAGTGGAAACAGCAGATCACCCCGAAAGCAAGCCCCCTCCCTGCCTAGAACGCCCCATGGCTCTGTTCCTTCACCTCGTGCTCAGAAAACAGTAATCCAGCTCCTCAGACCGAGAATCCATACACCTTACAGAGCACGGGAGAGCTTCGCCTGCTCTGAGGTGGGGTGGGCCGCATGCCAGCACCCGGGAGGAAATCCAGGGACCGGACCTGCGAAGTAGCTCGGCCCACAGGGCATGTCCTCTGGTTTCAAATTCTAATTAGGTGCAGCCCAGCTCAGGACAGCATTCAGGGCTCTGTAAAAGCCACCTTCTGAAGCCGCTGGTGTTAACCAAGAGAAATGGCACTTCTTCCTTCCTCTCCCTCTTTCTTTTTTAAAGAAGTTTTGCCTTAGGGTCCATGCACTTGCCAAGGAGAGGGAGAAACAGAGAAAGTGAGAGGGAGAATGAGAAATCAGCCCTCAGGGCGGATGCCCACGCCGCAATCCCCTCTCCTCTCGGGATCTTGGGCCTGTACACACACATGCCCGGTGTGATTTCCCAGCCACTGTGCCCAGGCCCGCGGTTGGCCACAGGGGAGTCTGGCAACATAACCACTACGCCATCTGCTGGTCCCTACTCTCCTTTTATTTATTTCTTCCACGAAGAGAGAGACAAAGAGACAGGCACCCCAGCAGTTCCCTGCTGCCATCCACTCCCAGCCGAGCCAGCCAGGATTACTCGCATGCCCAGCATGGACAGGGAAGCCTCGAGACACAAACCCAGCACCTTCCCGCACAGTTTCTGCATCACAGAACACTGGGCCACTGGACCTGCCCCTCTACAAACCAAACTACTGGGGAGGTGCCTTTCTGAAGTCAGAAAGAGCAGGGCAGGGAACAGGACTTAGGGATGGGGAAAGCGGCATGTGCTTGGGACCGGACGTGGCCTTGAAACCTGGCTCGGGCCTTGACTGGCATGTGACTTGGGGCCGGTTTCCTCATCTGCAAAGTGGAGATAATACCGTCTACCCCCCGCAAGATAGAATGCGTCAAGGACGGTTGCAGAAAGAGCTCCGTATCATCCCACCCATCAGATCCCCTGGCCGAGGCCCTGGCTGGCTCCCTGCATGTCGGAAAACACCCGGCCGCTTTGCTGGTGCATGGTACAGCCCACTGTTCTTCCATTCCAGTGTATAGATCCAGCTCTCTAAATACCCCTCCCTGGGGATGCTCTATCCTGGGAGTTAGGGCAGAGCCCTGCAGGGAGTAAGGGGGGG